TTGGAAGCAGGGAAGTCAGAGAATGAGAACTGTTCAGACTCTGCATTTACTCTTTACAGCACATTTATTATGCTTTCAGAGCTCTGCAGAACTTTCCCGGACCATTTAGTAGTACCGCTAGAAAAGGGCTATTTTATTCCTCGTTAATAGCTAAATAAATAAGCAAAAGAATTTGTTTTCTCTGCACTGTCAGAGGTTCTTATTCTTAAGTAAGCCTCACGAATTCCAAGAACTCTGTTGCTGGTGAAACAATACAGGTACCTAGCATAATGCCTTGTGTCAGAGTGAAAGGGTAAGTTGCCAACTTTCAGGCGAGGCCTAGAGGTCTCCCAGTATTACAGCTGATCTCCAGATGATAAATATTAGTACCCTTGGAGAAAATGGCTGCTTTGGAGGGTGGATAGAATTGCCAGTCCCCAGTTGGCAGCGGGGGATCCCCTGCTTTTGTGGGCTCCTCTTCGTCGCTGGCCAGATAGCCAGTGAGAAGAATCCCCCCCCCCGAAGAGCATGTGGGCAAAACTCCATGTTTTTAGGTCGATTTTACCATAGGGTTTTGCCCAAAACCCAGAGCATCACCCCGGAAGTGATGTAGGCACGCGCGCAATGTCAGCACGTTGGCAGTGATGCTTCCGGCTCCCGAAATGTCCCTCCCATCTTCTCACTGGCGACTCAAAGGGGCCTGGCAACCCTACCCTCTACACTGCAAACCAGTGGTGGGCACTGCCAAGACAAAAAGCATGAATTGACTTTTGGTAGTGAAGTCTGGTTCTGATCCAGCAAATAACACCGTGTGTACGGTGTTTCATATGTGGGAACCAGCCAGTAGGGATGACTCGGCAAATAAATTTTTGTGCAGAGTTTAGAATAATTTTTTTAAAATATGTGTGCTAATACAGAATGTATGTATGGTTTTGCTATTAACATATCATTTTTTAAAAAGAGAGATACAGCAATATCTAGATGTCCTGGTAACAGATGTATGTTATGTATGTATGTGGTAATATGTATGTATGTATGTATGGTATGTATGTAGGTATATATGGTAACATGTATGTATGTATGTGGTAACATATCAATGTGGTAACATATCAATGAGAGAAAAGCAGTCTGGATATGTTCAAAGGCACCACTGTTGTAGTTTTGTATGTTCTGTGGTTCAGGAAAAGAATTTCTCAGGCTAAGTCTTTGTAAATCTCAATTTATATCAAGATTTGGATTTTTGTGGGTTTAGCTGTATGAACATCTTGATATTTCAGGTGATACATCATTACAGGCCATATTGTCTGCAAAATATTACTATTTTTCCATTCTCCAAAGAGAATGTGTTGGCTGCAACAGGCAGGAAATTCTGGGGGGTCAGTGTGCTTAACATAGGCAATGAAAAAGCGCTGGATAAGTCTACTGGCAGTCTGATGTCTGCTTCTTCTACAGAAGGATTCTACTACTCATTTTGCTCTCAATGTGAATGAAAATACATTTTTGTCAGATCCTCGGTCCGTAGAGGGAAGGCTCTGCAGCAGTGTGCGACTTTCACACTAGGGAGTTTGTCAGTGGCCTCAGAGGATACAGGAGGACAGGGGCTAACTGACACCCGAATCCCTCTCTTCTGCTTGCGGGTCCTCGACCTCTCTCTGGCTCTCTTTCTCCCCGGCCAGCTCCCTGCTTAAGTCTCCCCTGTCTGGGTGAGCCCTCCCCCAAGCCAACCAATCTCTCTCCTTCCAGGGAGGGGTCTGTCTGAGGGCCAACCTTTGGTCCCAGTGGATTGCTCTCATTCTTCCCTTGAATCCACCCCCTAGCCTCATTCTCGGTGAGGAGTGAGGCTAGCACACCTGTTTCCAATCTCCCCAAGGTCCCATGCACTGTTTCCCTCTCCCAGCCACCTGGTCCCCCTCCCTGTGACAGCAGAGTCTCTCCTGTGATCCCACTTTGAGCCTGGGAGACGCCAGTGATGCTTCCCTGAATCGTCTGACTCCTGTCCAGGTTTGTGAGTGTGGGGGTGGGGCTCGAACCGTCACCCCCAGTCAGTTTCAAAGGAAAAACTGGAAAAGAACTACACAAATAATTGTATCCAAAGATAGGACACATGCTCTGGTATCACTTTCCCTGAGAGAGCCTGGTTCATAGATATTCTCAGTTAATTGTTCTGGACTGCAAATCCAATACCATGAGGTACAAAGAAGGAGGAGGGTCTGTCGTTGTCCCTACTTCCCCCTCACCCAGATTTAGTAGTAGGATTCTGTAGTACGGGGTATAATTCACCTGGACCTTGCTGTTAGAGATCCTGTGCTTTACACTAACTTAATCAAACTAATGTCCTCAAATGATATTGTGCACAAAATCTAATTTCAGTACTATAGAATCATAGAGTTGGAAGGGGCCAGTGCAGGACCAACCTAAAGCATCTGGGAAGATAAAGCATCTGACAAATATTTGTCCAGCCTCTTCTTGAAAGCTGTCAGTGAAGGGGAGCTAACCACCTCCCTAGGCAGCTGATTCCACCTTTGAACCACTCTGACTGTGAAAAAGATTTTCCTAATATCCAGCCGATACCTTTCTGCATGTAATTTAAACCTGTTGCTTCAGGTCCTATCCTCTGATGCCAACTGGAACAGCTCCCTACCCTCCTCCAAATGACAGCCTTTCAAATATTTAAAGAGAGCAATCATGTCCCCCCTCAATCACCTCCAAATTAAACATTCCCAAGGCCCTTAGTCTTTCCTCGTAGGGCTCAGTCTTCAGACCCCTGATCATCCTCATCGCTCTCTTCTGCACCCTCTCAGTTTTGTCCACATCCTTTTTGAAGTGAGGCCTCCAGAACTGCACACAGTGTTCAAGGTGCGGCCTGACCAACTACAGAGGGGCTGTGACCTCCTGTGATTTCTATGTTATGGCCCTTTTAATACAACCCAAGACTGAGTTTGCCTTTTTTGCTACTGCATCACACTGACTGCTCATATTTAGTTTACAGTCTGTGTCACTGAAATGAGAGACAGTATAATTGCAAGGCAATATAAAGTGGTCTGTCTTTCAGTGGGTTGGATCTTTAGGATTTTGCCAGATAAGTGGATCTTTAAAGTTCCCTAGAGCATAGAGGGGACCCCAGCAAAGATAATGGGGAGCCATGTTGATGACAGGCATGGAGGCAGCTTGATGGACTGGGTGACCTGAGAGCCAGTGGTGCCCTGTCTCCGCATTAGCGTGATCTAGGACCTGCGTGTTGAGGATCTGAGACCCCTCTTCAGTTCCCCATTTTGTCAAATATTGATTCAGGCTTGATCTGATTCTAGGCTGCAAACTGAGTTGAAAAGTTTAAGTGGAAAACAACTGAGTTGCTGGGAAGATACAGCAAAGCTGACCTCATAACTAGATAACACCCATGTGCAAGGAGGGAAGCGTCTATCTTAACCCCCTTCCAAGGACGAAACCCTGGCACCGTGGTAACCAATTAGCCACATTCCATTCAGTTAGACATCATGATTTGCACCTGTGGGAAATGGTTGGACTAGACTGCAGCTAGCTCCCCCCATTTCATTCTCTGTACATGCTTACAGGGCTATAGTCAGCAATGGGGCTTTAGGGGCTGAGCCCACCCCCCACGATTAGGGCAGAACTCCACTGTAGCAGAGGCTTTCCTCCCCCCACCCCCACACTTTGCCAGCCAGCAAGACAGGCAGCCGGCTCTTTGATAGCCGATCACCCAGTTTGCTGGCTGGTGCAGATGCACCTCTGTCTTTGCCAGCCAGTGAGCCTGGCCGTCAGCTCTCCAAGGCTCCCGGAGAGTTGACAGCCTGTCTCGCTGACTGGCAAAGTTGGGGGTGGGAGGAAAGCTTGAGCGGCTCAAGTTGAGGCTGGCTGCTTTCTTTTTGGCTCTCCTCCCCCCTCACCACCTGTGCGGGACATGACAACTCCCAAAGTACAAAGCCCCCCCCCCCCGCCTGGAGGTGTGTCCCTAAAAGCCTGCACGCCTA